CAGCCTCTCCAGTGGGAAGAGTGCATATCTTAAAGCACTTGGCTTTGTACTTTAATACTCACGTAGGCTAACTAGGGTAGGGCAGGGGACAGATAGGTTTGAGGTTATGTGGTTGCTCCTGAGCGGTTCTTCCCACAGCCCCAGAGGGACCCAGGAAAGTCCCAGATCCTTCACAGGGATGCTCTGCTCTTGCTGTGGAAGCTCCTCTGTCCTGAGGAGCTCAGCCGTGCTCTCCTGGCTCACTTCACCATCCTGCCTAACATCTGCTCTTCTGAACTGTGTGGAAATGCTTACTTCTCTCTTTGTCCTTTCTCAGTCCCTAGGAGGTAGAAAGAAACAGCCTGAGAAGTGGAAGATGGTGTGAGCATGCAGAGAGTTTGCTGGGGGAAAGCTGAGCAATTTGTTAAGCTGTTTTGCATGTGGTATTGCAGAAGGTAACAGTCTCCCTGGCATGATCCATGCTTCATCCACTGGCTGTTGGGAACAAAAGGAGTGAACCCCTCTGGGGTTTTTCCTCACTTTATAGTTTTGTGTTTGTGTATAGCTTGCCTCTGGCTTTACAGTTTTGTGACATTTTTCCTATAGCAGCATGGAGCAAAGGGAGAGGGATATACAGGGGGAAGAAGGTGCTTCCAGCAGGGTTTGCTCCATTCCCTTTTCCAGCCACCAGAAATGATGGTCATGGCCCAGAATGGTATGAACTCCACCTCTCTATGGGAATGCATCTCCTGGTGAGCACTGGGAATTGGAAATGCCACATCTCAACTAAGGTGGGGAAGCTGTGGTGTGCTGTCTCGGGGGTCAGTGATGCCAGAGCTGTGACAGATGGCTCCTTAGGGGATGGCTGGGTTATCCTGTTAGGGTGCTGTGCAAAGCCCAACTGCTGGTGGCCGGGATGTGAGAGCAAGTGGGCTCCTGACCAGGCCCTGTGCAGGAGGGAGAAGCGCATGCCACGCCAGGACTGTGGAAATGTCTGCGTGGTTTATTTCATACGGCTGGCTAAGTCCTGTGCTTTTAAACACACAGGGTGTGCCAGGAGTGTGCAAGAGCTGCTGTAAACGTGCATGTCAATAAAGGATAAAAGTGAAGAGGCAAGCGCTTCATTAAATGGCTATGAAAGACAGTAAACCGGCTCTTTACAGCACAGGACAGCATTTCTGATGGTGTTGCAAGACTGGCCACTGGGTTTCTTCTCTCTGCAAAGAAATTTACAGCTGAACTGTCTAGTCCTGCTACACAGAGAAAGTTTCAGGGCTGCAGGTTTAAAACAAGGTTGCATTGTTATGCCAGTTTGATTGAGAAGTCATCCTACATCAGACTTCTGCTGTATGAGGATGAGGGGTGCTGGGCAGGGACAGATGGAGAGAGGAGGGGATTTTAGAAGTTCCTAGCGAAGGAAGGGATAGCTCGGCAGTGGTTTCTCCATCCTTCCTTTTACCTCAGTGAAGCTGTTCCCTGCGGAGTGGCTTCCCTACAGGCACAAAGATTCTGCCCTGCCGTTTCACCTGGCCTCCTCGGGATGGAAACCCTGTAGAGGAGGCATCATTCCCAGCTCTCCTCGAGGATGTCAGCTATTTGGCAGAGCAGAAGGGACAGTCCTCTAGCCCCAGAGAAGAGCCCCTTTGAGCTGTTTCTAGAGGACCAGATCTCTGTGGCAGCAGATGTAGGATCGATGAAGAAGTCCATTTGCTTGGGCGTGTTAACCATAGAAAACTTGATGAATCTGCTCTAACATGCTTTTAACTCCAAATGTGTGATAGGACTTGTGATACCTAATGCAGGAACCATAGGAGAGTCTTAGAAACAGAGCAAGTTCTCAGGCTCTGGTAGGTCTTCAGTGACACCCTGGGCAGCCAGCCACGCTCTCACCAGGGCTGCGATTTATAAATGAAACATCTCAGCAGTGCAGATCAGATCCAGGGCTGGCTTCAGCTTCTGCTGCGTTATTCACAAGTATGTGAAAACTCTGAAAAATGTGACAGACTTTGGGGTAGGTTCTCAACACAATGTTACTTCTCCCGAGATGAAATATGAGCATGTCCCTGTTAAAGACAGGAGTGCAGTGGAAGCTGTGAGATAATGGCATATGTAAGGGAAAGTGAAGTCTGTGGTGTTCTGCTGTTGGTGGGTTTGTTTTCACTTCCCTCCCAAGAGGAGCCCTTTGCTAGTGAGCTACGAGCACTGGGGCCACAGCAGTGTGATTCAAATCAGTTCAAAAATATTTTGCCCCAAAATTACTTTTTCATGGGGCTTTTGCAGGTCTCTTGTTTGTGAGTGTGGAGGATTAAGAGTCCCTCCATGGCTCCTGGAGAGGTCATGACAGCAGGCCAGAGTCTCCTCTTTGCCAAAGCGAGCTCTCAACAAAGAGGTCAGCTGACAATCTGGCTCATGTTCCCTTTTTAAGCAGCGATCAGCCTTCTCCGGTAATAATCTGCAGGGGCTCAGCACCACTCCTAAATCCCTAGAGCATTTTGGCCTGGTTGCTGTGGGGGACTGTGGGATTGTGTGGGTCAGGTTTCTCCAGTGCCCTCAGGGTGGGAAGAGGAGTAAGGAAAAAGGCAGGGATGCTTGGAGTCCCTGAGGGTTGTATGTGTCTGGGAGGGCTGTAAGTTCTCTTACTTACGTGTCTCTCTAGTTTCCTAATGGGAAAGGATTTGGTCCCATTTTCTGAGAAATAAGTGGGAGTTTTCCTGTTGGTTTTCATGAGAGCAGTTTATATAAAAGGAGCTGCTGTGCATGTGGGTATGCTGTCCATCTGGGTTTACATTGTATAAATCTGTAATTGCTTTGTGCTAAAGGCACGTGGGAGTCCTGAGCTTTGGGTCCAGCCTTCCTTGCATCCCCATATACATAGCAACTGGCCTCTGCTTTTTTAATGTTCCATTCACAAATATGTGTCTGGAACAGCACTTTGGCAGGGGACAAACAAAGCCCAGATCTCACCAGGCTGTCCCAGCCCTGTCTGTGCTGGGTGAGATGTGATGCATCTTGTGACCGCTTCCAGCAAACAGGTCTGTCCGGCCATGCCCATGCCGAGGAATCTGGTCTGGGTGCTTGTCTTGGCCATTTCCAGTCTGCGTCGGAGGTGAAGAGCCGGGTGTGCAGCATCCCCGCTGTCTGCACCTCCAGGCCCCTGCTGCCTTGGGCATCCACTCCCAGGTGGGAATGGTGGTGCAGTCTCGAAGGTGCCACACCTGGGTGCTGGGGGACCAAGCCCTGGGCTGCACTGTGGCCCCCCCCGCAGACAAGACACAGCTGCTGGCACCTGCTGCGGGTGTGAAAAATAGCGTCTGTATGGGTCCTGCTGCTGTGTCCAGAGTGTGACAGTGCAGCTTCAAACACTGATTTAGGAGGACAGTGCTGTCTACTCTGCATTAGCCAGCTGGCTGAGGAAACTTCTCTGTGCCTCCTTTTTCCTGGGGTAGTAGCTGGCAATGCATTTTTGCATTGTCAGTGGAGAGGTACCTATACTGAAGAACAAGGTATTATTGCTCTTGTACAGTCCTGGTTTTGGTAAAACCAGATGGGTCTAAAGTAAATTCAAAGTTCCTATGGGTCTAAAGTAAATTCAAAGTTCCTTTGTCAAAACAACTAGTAGCTGAAATTTGTGTATATGAAGTGCTATGAGTAATCTTCTGTCTTTCTGAAGAAATGTTTTCTTTACTGAAGACCAGTGACTTGCAGTGGATTCCCGCAGCATTAATGGGATACGTGACAGGGAGATTGTATGAAAGGTCACAATCAGTTTGAAATGAAAGCAATTGAAAAATGAGTGTCTTGTACTAAAACTGTTCCTGGAGATTGTTGGCCAAGTATTGCAGTCTCACTTTTCTATTTTTAAAACTCTCGCCAGCTGCGATGTGACCCTTCCCTCCACACCCACAACAGAAAAAACCCTTACTGATTAGAAACAGGAAATAATAAAACTCACTAACCACAAAGTATTTTCAAACGCACAAAGTAAACAAGCAGAGATGGTGAGAAATACATATTTCCCACTGATCTCTTTTCAGTATGGTAACCATAGCCGATAATTATAGTCACTGGGGATTTACAGCTTTCAGGAGGAAAGTATGCTTTTAAGTTGATGCTGTCAAACCGTAGTAAAATATTTTCATCACAGCCTCTCCCAGCATAACAATAAGGTGGCCACAAGTGCCATGAGATGCATTATTGACACCATCTAGAAGTAAATGAAAACATCAGGCCTGATCTTGGGTAGGGAGATGATCTTCTTGCCTGCCCCATGGTGTGCAGATCCCAGTGCTGGGCAGTGGATGTTCCTCCGGTGGGTGCAGCCGTGGGGGCTCTTGCAGGATCTGTACAGTTCTGTGCCTTTACCTGCCTTCTGACCCCGCAGTTGAAGAAACCTGCCTTGCCTCCACGCAGCCATGTGTAGGCCAGTTGTTTCTCCTACCACCCTTATGTCACACCACTCCTAAAGGCTATTCAAGAGGGCTGGATAAAAGGGAGAGCTTCACAGAAAAAGATGCTAAACCTACAGGTGATGGTTTTCACTCCTTCGGCACATCATCAAATAGATCTCCCTGCATAATGAGCCCCTCTGAATTGCGGGTCCATTAATTAGTATGCACAGTGTTTGTTTAAGAGCTCCTTGCTCTTTTAACTGTGAGGAACTTTTAACTGCCTTTGAGATGAAAAACTGGAACCAAATGTTGCCAACAAGCAGAGCAGAATTGTCCTGGTCTTCTTGGTCCAATTTGCAAGGAATTTTACCTTCTGCCTTTTAGATTGTCTCTGCGATTCCCTTATAAGTAAAAGCTAAAGCTGAGATCCAAGCTGAGATTCAACTCCTGATTTCTTTCATAACTTTTTAAAGTGTTACTGTGATCCAGGTGATTTTGTCTGTGTGTGTGGTGCACACTGCTTTTTCTACAAAGCATCAGGGGCAAAAACCAAGCCATCTCTTTTAACTGCATGCAAGAAAAAAAACATTTGGGAAAGAAGAAAGCAAAAGCAGATCCCCAAGTACCGTTTATTCAGAGCAGACAGGACAAAGGTGGGACAAATATCAGTTGTTATCTTCCAAAAGTTTATTTAAAACTTTTAGTTAGGGAAACAAAAGAATAATCCCTAAATATAACTATCCATAACATATATATATATACACATAGCTCAGTAGTTTAACAGTAATGTCCAGGTGGCTGGGAACAGCACAGCCCGAGGGAGCAAGCCAGAGCATTTCTAAGCAACCTATGGAGTCCAAACCAAGTCTCTCTCTTTCTCTCTTTTTTTTCTAATCACTGCAGCCCTTTTACAGGAATCAGAACCAGAATCTCCTACAGCTGCAGAGGAATAATAATAAAAATGAAAATCGGAAGAGATCAGCCATTTACCCCTTTATCCAGTGAGGTGGTCTCGGTGAGTTATGTGAGATTTGGGAGGTAAGCTTGACGCCAGAGAGGGTTGTTGCTTGTTGACTTGTACTTTTATTAATAGGCAGTTAATTATTTTAAGAATGTAAGACAAGAAAGCTATATAATTAATATACACTAAAGAGTACGAGAGGATTCTATACAATAACTTAGATGTATTAAATAAATAGAAAATAATAGCAGCCTTCTACAATGCAGGCTACACATAGGTTTACTTCGGTTTGAAGTACCCTGGTCTTTAGTACACCTACAGGAACAGACTTGCTCCACAAGTGTTTTAAAGAAACATATCTATAAGATACATATGTAAGAGTGTCTAAGGTTAGGATAAACATTTTAAAACACACTTTACCATGGTCTCCACATATCTAATGACCCCATTCTAGGGTTGTTATAGGAAAAATTTGGCTGCAGGACCTGCCTGGGAGGTGCAGTGTCAGCCTGGCCGAAAACCGACAGCGACGGCAGCTGGAAGGAATTTTTTGAAGCCTGCTTGTTCTCCACGGGGTAGAAGCGCTCCTGTGATGGGTTTGTGCCCCGAGTGCTTCCCTTCGGGCTCAGGGGACTTTTTGGCGTTGGGAGAGGCTGCTGAGATGGGCTCGAAGACCTTAATGCCGCTTTGCAGGTGTCTTCGCCAGACCTGGGCAGGGACTTCAGCAGATGGTTTAAGAGGCGTGCCCCAAGGGTCTTGTCCATCCACTCGCAGGTGAGGAGGAGGTTGTGCACCTCGTGCATGCACTGAATGTACCCGGTGCTGTACCTCTGCTGCGCCTCCAGCCCCACTTTGGAGTCGGCTGCGTGGGAGAGGAGACAAGGGGGGTTGGTGAGCGGGTAGAAATGTTCCTGCTTACAAGCATTCACCAGGCTTCCCGTCTGCATAGGCTCTGGCGGCTCGGTCCCGAAGCCGACTGGGCTTTCCCATAAGGTGAATCGTTTGCAGGGCGCAGGGGGAAGGTGATGAGGGGTGCGAGCCACCCAGGCAGGCAGCCCCCGCCTCCTCCTGCCCACCGCCACGGGCAAAACTAGACTAAAAAGCAGAAAGCGCCTCTGGAAGGGCAAATAAACCTTCCGTGGGTTCACCAGTGCCCAGCTCCATCTCCCCATCTAGTGGAGAAAGCCAAACCGAGCAGCAGCCTGGGCCTCCACGGGTTTGAGAGATGCTTTTGCCAAGCTGCCAGCCGATTAAGTCTGCTGGCACCCCCTGCCAACGCTTGCAGGGTGGGGGGGGGACGGGGCACTCACCCATCAGCTTGCTGCTCTGGATGTTCTGGAGGTGCTTCACCGTCATCTCGAGGATGTCTGCTTTTTCCAGCTTAGACTGCTGATAAGGAAAGAGTGCAGCAGTTAGTGGCAATGAAGGGTTTGTACCATGCCCTGTTTCTCAAAAGAAGGGATGCTCCCCACCAAAACCAATCTCCCATAGCAAAAGGACAAAAAGCAGCTAAAAGTGAGCACTTACATCCAGGTGAAAGGCGCCCACAACAGTCTCCTTCAGCTGGTCCAAGCAGTTATTAATCCTTTCCCTTCGCTTCCGCTCAATGAGGGGTTTCCTTAACTGGCAGGGAAAAGAAAAGGAGGAGGAAAAATTGCGGTTGATATTTTTTCTTCCTCTCCCTGCTGCAGTGTGGTGAGGGCCGAGAGCCCCATCCCCTGCGTGAAGCCAGCATGGGGTGATGCGATGCTCGGCAGGGACAAGATATGGATGGAGAGTGTGCCATCTCCAGCTCCAGTCATGACCTGTCCCTCAGATGGTATCAGTTCTCAGTTTTCCCACTTCCACTCATTTTAAGCAGTATTTACCCAAACAAAACCGTGAGAAGCCTTTCTAAGGTGGATAAAGGAAGTACAAAAAACACTCACATGGGTTAAATTCAGAGAAAGCATCTTTATAATAAGAGAAAATAAACTGTCCCTTCCTTCTTCCTTAGAAGCAGTGCTCGCAGCCCCAGCACTCCTCGTTCACGTGCACGGTGCCAGCATCCACGCGTGGGACTGCTGTTTGAGCAGCACAGAGGAGACCTACCTTCCTCTCCTCCTTGGTGCTGGTGAGCTTGTGGGTGCCGCCGGCGGTGGCTGCAGCGGTCATTCTCATCCAGCCTGCCCGCCCCGGGCGCCGGGAGGATGGGATGGGAAGGAGGCACTCGGGCAGCGGGTCGCTCCCTTTCCAGACGGACTCTTTGCTGCTCTGCTGCTCCTCTGCTGTATTTATAACCCAGAATTAGCATGTGAAAGGGGACTTTCCTTGGCGGGACTTCTTTTCCCACACGAGGGGTCGAGCCCGGAGGTTTGTGGCCATCAATCAAAGCTGACAGGTCACTGCTTCTTTTCAATGACCACGCCGGCCCCCCCAAACGGCGACAGATGTCCAGCCTCCGACGCCGGGCTTTGGAGGGCTCTTTTGTTAGGGAAGAAGGGAAAGAAAATGGGCGCGCTCTGAGCAGCTTGCACGGCTCCTTGCTCAATTTGCACAGATTCCCAGGGAGGGGAACAATAGCCGGGAAGCAATTGAGTTACACCTGGGAAAAAATGCCTTCTACCCATCTTTTTTCCCTTCTATCGCCTTGAAGCAATGCCTATTTTACCTGCTAACTCAAGACCCAGCCATTTTACATCTTCGAAGCAGCCTCTTAATTTAATAATAGAGTGCTTGAGCTAGGAGTTTCTGCTCCCAGGAATTATTATTACAAGGTAATAACGATCGATTAAAAACTGTTGACAGCAGATGTCTGTAGGAACATTGTTTCCATCACAGAAATCCTCTAGGGAAAACACGGGAACTTTACTTAACTTCTTGGGAACCTGAATTCTCTGTTGCACGTGGCTGGATGTAGGAAATAGGCAACTCTTCTAGTTTTTTACTTACAGGCCACTGCAGCTGCAGATGGACCTAGAGATGAGTTAGTTCTATGGCATTCTTACTAATTTGAATTTTTTTCTCCCATGCTGCAAGAAGGCTTGGGTGGCTTTGGGGGAAGGGTGTTTTTCTGTTCACTCCTCTGAAATGCTAGTGCATAAGCAGACGGGCCTTTGGAGGAGACTTGGCACAGGATGAGAATGCACTTTTATGCTTCCTCACTTCTGCCTGGTCTGGGGGGAGTACGAAGGCGGTTTTCATGACTGTGCTTTTGCTTTCTGACGGTCTTTTTGCTAATGAGCAGGATTTGGCAGTGTCCTGTTGAGTCCCGCAGGTGAAGCCCTTTGGGTTGGTGTCAAATGTGTCACCTTATTGAAATGGAGAGGAAGTGGCCGCAGTGGTTCAGAAGCACTGGAAGCCTTCCCAATCTGCCGGTGGGATTTCTCAGCACCCGGCATAGTGTGGCGGCTGCAGAGCCTGCCTTCTCTTCCCCCCTCCAGCCTTGGGTGGGGATGTACCCCAGAGATAAAAGTGAGGACATTGCGTCCCTTGGTTAAACACTGTGTGGGTGTGTGTTTGCCTGTGCGTAAACGCAAACATACTTGCAGCATGTCTGTACACCCTGCTGCCTGGGCTCACCATGAAATCATGTCCCCAGACGTGGTATCTTGCAGGCAGAGGTTGTTTGTCAGTCAGCTGGGGTGCAGTTACCCAGTTTTATAAACACCCTACTTGGCAAGGGTCCAAGACAGACTGGTGTGGTTGTTGTGCCGGGAGAGGAGGGTTTGGGAGGGGAAGGTTGGTTAACTTGTCCTTTGTGCCAGGTGAAGGGAGCAGGGATGGGCTCCTTATCTCAGGTGCATCCCCCCACAGACAGCCAAAGGAGGTCCCACTGCACCGTGCAGGAGCCTCTCGCATCAGCCAGCCCTGGCTGCTCACAAGTGAAGACTCCTTTGGTTTTTCAAGCTTTCTCCAGCCCACCTCTGGAAGTGGAGTGTTGCTGGTATTTATAAAAGGCGCAGCTGAGGCATCCGTATTGCCACATGACTCCAGCAGCTCGGTGTGGAAGAGGCAGCAGGTGGGCTGGGGTAGGGCTCTGCCCTGTCCATGGATAGGGGGGCACGGACCAGGCGCACCCCTGGCTCTGGGCAGTTTGCTAGGGTGCTTGAGGCTTGAAGTGCCTGCCTGTCACCTGGGCACACAGCTTCTAGCTGGGTTTGGCTCAGGCAGTGAGTGGAGAAGTGGTGTGTATGTTTCCCCCCTACACACCCCTCCACCACCACCACCTTGTGCAGAAAGAGGCAGCTTCCCAAGGCAGTCAGGGCAGCAGGAGAAAGCCTGAGAAGACTTGGCTTCTGGCCCAGCTGAGCATGGCAGAAGTGTCAGCAAATGCAGAATTGCCTAAAATCTCTGAAAAACATATCTTGCGCCATTGGCATCCCTGCCTGTCTGGGCATGGCTGCAGGGTGCCGTGTGTGCCCCCCATGTTAGTGGCCCAGGGGCTGTCCAACCCCCAGCGCCACCAGGAAAGGTCTCTCTGTTCTCTGTGGTGGTGGCACCTCCTCCCTCAGTCTCCCTTTCCTCCTTGGCCTGGACTTGTTTCTTCTGCCTTATCCTCCATCCTGCTTTCCTTGCCCTGCGAGGTGCTGCCAAGCCCCTGAGAGAGGGGGATGTTCTGTGAGAGGGACATGCACAGTCTTCCCCTGCTGCTTTGGCTTCCATGAAGCAGACAGGTAGGGGGGTGTGGGTGGTGAGGTGGTGGGTACTGGGGACAGACGGGTGTGATGGGGGCCAAGAACAGCGTGGTGGCCCCTGGCACCTAGCCAGGGCCCGTGCCCAGCTCATGCAGGGCAGCTGAGCCCCAGCCTTGACGGGGTGAGCCCCTTGGCTTGCCTGCTGGCGTCTGCTCCGGGTGAGCTCATTTCAAGGTTCATTTGTAAGACAGCGCTGCAGTGAAAAAGAAGAGCAGCTTTTGCTGTAAACAGTTATTTTACACCTCTCAGTCAGGGCAAAGGCCTTTATTTTGGAGGCACAGGGGGTGCAGGCGGGAGAGCTGCCCTGGCTTTGGGGGAAGGCTGACATCTGTGCCGGGGATTGTAGGGACCCAACAGGCCAATGCAAATGAGCATTAAAGGGAGCTTTCTGCAAATTCCCGCTTTCGTTTTGCATTGCCCACTGCCAGGTTTCACTGAAAAGGGGATTCTCCTTCATAAACAAAGCCTCCCTTTTTTCCTGGGCTTTCAAAAAAAAAAAAAAAAAAAGAGGAAAGAGAAAGGGGTGAGTACTGCTTGGAGTTTTCTTTCTTGCTATTTGTCTACATTTCACACCCTGGAGAAAGAAAACAACTTTTAACATCTGTTCCTGCACTTTTTAAGAGGGAAAGAAAGGCTCTTGAAAAGGAGGAAAGTGTGGCAGATGTTGGCAGGTTCCCTCCGACGCAGATGTCTTGCTCGGAAGAAAACTTTCTTTGGGGATTGGCGGCCAGGGCTCCTCTTTGACTCAGGACACGCGACTGCCTAGTGAACGAAGGGACGTGGGAAAGCGATGGCGAACAAAAGCGCTTATTCAAACAAACCTGAGAGCCGTGAACAATCTAATAACCAGCAGAGAAATGGTCAGCGGCCCCTAGTCCTGCTGGGGAGGGGTCTGGGGCAGCCAGGGGGTGGGCGGGACAAGGGAATTTTGCCACGTCCCCAGGGCTTTGAGCAGGAGTGTCCTCTTCTTACCCCCTGCTTGCTCCCTTTGGGGCATCCAGTGTGGCACTTTGGCCAAGGACAGACATTCTCGAAGTGCTAAATGGTCTCATCTGGTCTGCAGAGCCAGCTGTGCAGGAGCTGGCTGCCCCATGGCATCAGGCAGCAGAGGAGATGGAGGGCAGATGCCTGCTGGGCACCTGGGCTGGGCTGGGCTGTCTCACATGCACTGGCCAAGGCTCTGGTGAGCCCTCTGCCAGCCAAGGCCCTGGGAGAGGACCAGTGACAGGACAGCAGGGGTGTCTTTAGTTAAGCTTTTAAATAAAAGGTTCTGCTGAGATAATAATAACAATAATAACAATAATAATAATAATAATAACCCTATTGATTAGGACCAGTTGAAAAATCCTTGGGAGACGGATATTGAGGAAAGATTTTTAATGGAAAGAAAAGAAATTGAGAGAAAAAAGTATTTTCTGTGAACCTTTTGTTCACTCCCCTTCTCTGTGGCTGGTGAAATAAAATGATTTAAAATAAGTTTTTGCCATGAAAGCTGGTAATATTTCAGTTTAGGCACTTCATAAGAAAAAGGTGAGATGCCTAGAGAAGAGGGAGTGGAGCCAAGAAAATTCGCATAATAAGGTAAATAATTCTGGTTTGCTGTTAAAGCTGAGGAATTCTGTGGTTATTCCTCTAATTCCTCCAAGCTTTGTTCTACCTCATCTCTGCCCCAGTCCGTTTCCTCTGGGCAGGGCAGAGCCGCTTCTGCCCAGCTGCCTTGTGCTGGTACAACTGTGACTCTTGCCTGCTTGGGGCCAGTGGGGAAAGCCTGAGATGGAGCAGCATTGCCTCTGTGGAGGCCAAGCTCTGGGGTGAGCAGCCCAAACCCCTGCTGTGGGTGTCCCCCATGTTTCTCCTATCAGCAAAGCCATCCCTGCATGGTGGCTGGGAAGCAGGAACCATCTCAGCTGGGCTGAGGAGCCCCCTGCTGCAGGAAGGGTGCTGTATGTCACCAGAGACCTGTGTGCCCACCCAGGCTGGTCCCTCCTGCCTCTTGAAACTAGGGGTGATGCTGTGGGCACAGCTCACAACCTGACAGGACTAACCAGAAGGCCTGTGCAGCTCTGGGGCAGCCCTTGAGTCCACCCCAGGCCCCTGGCTGGTTAACAAAATGGCCTTGTTAATGTGGCTGAGCCTTTTGCAGTGATGGATTTGCAATGGGATAATGGGAGAAGACATGAGCGGGTGCTCCTGAGCACTGCCCATTCTACTGCACATGTGGTTCACAGCAGGACCACTCCATCCCCTCTTTCCAGGCTGGGGATGCATCTGGCCTGGATTTGTCCCCAGTTAAGCAACTCCTTGCCCCTCTTCTGAGGTGGCTCTGCTGGCTGGCTGTGGGAGCGCGAGTCCCTGGCCCGCAGGAGGTGCTGGTGGGCAGGCCGTGAGGGGGATGGACGGGGTGCTCCAGGCATCCTGCCCCATCCAGCACTTCCAGCTGTGTGTACGTTGGCTGGGTCTGCTTTTATTATAACAGCTTTGCTTTCAACACATGTAATAACGCGGGGTTTGTGAAGTGAGGAGCAAAGCATGGATTTGGGAGCCACGAGAGCAGGCAGGCAGTGGGCAGGGTACGGTGGGGGCAGCTGCATGGGGAGCAGGTCAGCCCTGACGCACAACCTCAGTGCATCCTCTGCACCCTGCGCTCTGTCCTTTGGGGACGGGCTTTGCTGTAAGCAAACATTCACAAAGGAGAGGCTGTTTTTACAGAGGCTTTAGTTATGAATAGAGGTTTTTATCCAGGTTTTGCAGAAGGTCAGTTCTGGTCCAAGGTTGAGGTTTAAAAATGAGGGGGAAAGCTGTCCTTTAAAAGGTTTAAATCTGTAGGTTTCTTGATAGCTGTAGATCCCAAGCAGTTCGTCTCAAAGCCTTGTGTCACCCAGGAGCGGTTTGCTCCCAAAATGTTACAGCAAGAGAGGAATGTGAGGAGCAGCAGGACATGCCGGCGCGGTGACTGGATGTGCCGGGTCCGGAGGGCACAGGTGGTG